TCAAATTTAAAATGTCTTAAATTAGGATGGTGCCAGAGGAAGCCATGGGATCTTGGGAGAGTTTTTCTTTTATTTTTAGGATGAGAGAAATTACACATCTGTGTGGTGACAGCTTTGCTCGCTTTAGAGAAGGGGAAAATGTCGCTATGAGAGAGGTGGGGGGATCATTGCAAAAGTAAAGTCCTTTTGTAGGAGAGTTGAAACAGGATCCAAAATAGAAGTGGAGGGGTTTGTTTTAGATAGGATCAGGTGCAGAAGGAAATATGGACAGATATGGGTGTTTTAGTAGGTTTGGGGCAAGAAGAGAAGTTCTCTCTTAGCTCTCAGTAAAGTTTTCTCAAATAAGCAAAGTCATCTCCTGAGAGGGACGGAAGGTGATAGAACTTTGAGGAGAAGAAAGGATATTAAATGGTTTGACTTGGAGACAGAAAAATAATTCACAAGTGTGCAGTAAGAATTGAGGCATTCATGAGAACCAAATCTCATCTGTGCCCATAAAATTAAAGTGAGCCTAGCCAGAACACTCATGAGTTTTTTGTGATGGTTCCTTTATCTTTAGTGTACGGTGCTTTCTGTTCCCTTCCCTGGTTCTGATTATTGATTCTAATGCCAGAATTACACTTATCTTTATGTTTTAATATCTCCTAGGGCTAGTTTTACTTCATTTTGGGAGAGACTCTTTGTTTCTTTAAATATTTTGGGATTTTGTCTTTTATCATTTAATTTTGTTTATATGTCTATGACTTTTATTTTAGGGGAGTCTGATTTCAGTCCAGGCTAAATCTGCCAGGGTATATAAAACAAAAGAAGAGTTTCTGATTTCTTTTAATTACAAATTACCATTTTTAATAATTTAACAAATATTGGAGGGCCCACAAGGCCTTGAATTGGACCTTAAAGATGAAATGGGGAGAGAAACAGGGACCACGGTCCCTGCCTCCAGGGACCTGACAGCCTAGGGCAGAGGTCAGCAATCTATGACCCTTTAGCACAAGCCAGCCCACCTCCTGTTTTTGTGTTGTCTGCAAGCTGCCAGTTGTTTTCAATTAAACATTTTATTTTGAGATAATTATGGGTCCACATGAGATTGTAAGAAATAATACAGAAATCCTGTACTCCCTTTACCCAGTTACCCCCAGGGGTAACTTCATGCAACAAAGCTATAGAACAACCAGGATATTGACGTTCATATTGTCAAGATACAGAACAGCTTCTATCAACACAGGATCCTTCGTGTTGCCCTTTTATTGGCAAAACCACTTCCTTCCTGCTTCCATTCCTCCTTAACCCCTGGCAACCATTAATATTTTTTTCATTTCTGTAGTTTTGTTATTTCATGAATGTTACATATGTGGAATTATACAGTATGTAACGTTATGGGATTAGCTTTCTTTGCTCAGCATAATTCTCCGGTGATTCATCCAGGTTGTTGTGTGTTTCAGTAGTTCATTCCTTCTTATTTCGGAGTAGTATTCTGTAGTACGGATGTACCACAGTTTGTTTAGTCATTCACCCATTGAAGAACATTGAGGTTATTTCCAGTTTCGGGCTATTATGAATTAAGCCTCTAAACATTCTTGTGAACATCAATTTTTATTTCTTTGGGATAAATGTCCAGAAGTACACTTGCTGGGTCATATAGTAGTTGCATGTTTAGTTTTATAAGAAACTACCAAACTGTTTTTTGACTGACTGGAGTAGAAATCCAGGTTCCCCATTCAGCCTCCATTGACGCCCAAAGGGGTTTCCTTGTTATTACAGGGCAGGGGAAGGAATTACAGTTCCCCACTGGGCCTCCCCTGATATTTCTGTGGCTAGGAAGGGCTGGAAGTCCTTATTGCTCCCCTACATGACCTCCACTAACATCACAGTGGGGAGGGGAATGGCCTTGTTAACTCTGGGCGGAGGTGAATGACTCTCCACTGGGCCTCGTCTGATACTACCCCAGTGAGGGGGGGCCCTCATTACTGCTGGACGGGGGTGCAAGTCGAGGCTTCTCACGTGGTCTCCACTGACACTGTCGGGCAGTGGGAATTGCTTGTCACTGCCAGGTTTGGGTGAAAGTACCAGCTTCCCTACTCAGTGTTCTCTCATGCCATGGGGGTTCAGGGTCAGGGATGGATGGGGGTTGGAGTACCTCATCAAAGCCTGGTGAGGGTGGAAGTGTAGGCTCCCCACTCGGCCTTTGCTGGAGCAGGTAGGAGCCGAACCACCCTTTTTTCTGTGGTTTCTGGCTGAAGTGGAACAGTTACTGTCTAAAAGTTTTCCATCTTTTGGGCCTGCCCCATTCCTTGTCTGTCCTTTGGCTAGAGTAGGCTTTTGTTATCATGTTGGGTTGTTTCGGAGGGGTTTGGGCTATGTCCATTGGCATTTCTGCTTTGTTCCAATTTGTTCCAGCAAAAAGAAAATCCAGGGAACTACCCACTGTGTCATTCCTTGGGTCCCAAGATCCTTAACCTGTGTGTATTCTATCCACTGTTCAGTCTTCTTATGTTTCTTTTATATACAACGCCCAGAGTTTTTGTTGTACTCGGTAGGAAGAATAGGGGAAAGTACACCTACTCCATCTCCTGGAAAAGGAAGTTTTTCTGATTTTTTTTTTTTAAAGCTTCTAGTTTTCTAACACCTCTGTGCTGTGATAAACTTGAATTGCCCCACTTTGGAAGATGTTTAAAGTAAGATCAGTCAACCAGCTACCAACTTAAGTGTGATAAAATTTCAGCACAACTCACATAATTTTAGTAACATAATCTTGTCTATTTTGGCATGAGTTGTTCAAGAGCATTCTGTTAAAATAAATATCTAGATAGTTTTATTCCCAGAAGGGCTTTGTAGAATGATAAAAATGTCTTATCATTGTTTTCATTTTTAAATAAATAATTATCAGTGATTTATTTCCTCTGTAGCTACTAAAGTTGGAAAGTAGCTTTGTAAAATCTACATAATTAAGTGGTAGATAAGAGCTATATCATATTCATTCAGGGTTAAAAAAATATATACAAACACACATACACACAAACACATACACACATAAATTTAAGTAGAAAAAAATTCCAGGTCCAATATTCTGTTACATTATTTTTACAGTGAAAATAAACAAACATTTCAAAAATCTTAACTTAATGTTAATATTTGGCTAGCAGTTAAAGATCTAATTTTATTGTTTTCTTTTTAGGTCAGGAGCCTACCCTAGCCCAGAAGCAGATTTCTAACATAACTAGTTCTCATTCTTATTTTTTAATTAGCCAACTCTTCTATATCAAATTTACTTTACAAGATGAACCAGTGAACCTAGAGAAAGATTCTAAATAGGAATCAGTGGCTTTCCAAAGGAAATCCTATCAAACCATAAAGCTTTACAACTGGAGGTTCTTACTTAAAAGCTTATAACAATACCAAAAATAAATAAATAAATAAAAGCTGCATAGAGTAGAGGCCCTTCTTTCCTGGCCTTGAGGGGCCTTGCCTATGGGGCAGTTACCTGACAGCACAGTGAAACTTTGCCTAGGTTGGCCTAGGGCCAGCAGTTTGACATTTTGGGGGGCTGCCCACCTACTGGACTGGAGCTATTGAGAAGGTGGGAGGGAGGCCTGCAGGCCGCTGTTCCCTTTCCCCTTAGTCTCAATGTGCCTCTCTGTGATCGGCCTGTTTCACATGCACCCAAAAGGTACCTTCCCAGATGCCCTAAGACAAGTTACCTGGGGTTGCCCTGGGGGCCATTCTTGGGAAGGGGCTTCTTTAACCCACACCAGGACTTCTATTTGCTAGGGGTAGAGGAGAGGAAAGGGGAGAAAATATGACCTCCCTTCATCAAGCCAGCTTGGTTACAGGCCTGCGGAACCTTCCCTTTACCTTTGTTGAAGGGTGTAAAATGTGTGAATCTATTATGAAGTTAGACAGTTAAACACAACTCTGATAGGCATTGTGAATAAATAACTTGCCAATCTGCACTGAAGCTTAGCTTGGGCAATACTGTACTAGTATCACTATAGGAAGCCTCTGCTTTGTTGCACATTTGTCAGATCTGTGTCCTAAATTTCTTTCCATATTTCCAAATTTATCATCAAGCCATGTACTACGTACTGTGTTTAAAAAGAAAAACTGAACATTTTATATTGCTGATAGATGGGAACTGGGACTGAGTAATTTTAAGCATGTTCTATCTTCTTCCAGAAGTCTTGGGGATAGTAGCTTTGACTCTGAGATTAATAGAGAGATGTGTCCCTTTTCTTTTGTTTAGATTCTTTGAGTAAAACTTTTGCTTCACTGAATTTGAGTTTGGGTAACATTTTTCTTTCTTTGTGGCTGGTACTTTTGTCAAAGTACTTCTAACTTATGTCAAAACATGGGATGGCATGGTCTAAAATATCAGAATACTTAACTTGGGGACATCATGGGGAGTCTGTGGATATTATTCAGAGTATATAAGAATTAGAGGGGGGAAACTCTCTTTATTTTTCTAAAAGCTAAATTTTAAAATTCAGTTTCTAATGGTGACAAAGATACAGGCACTACTAATATCAATCAGACATTTTCATATCATCATAGTTGTTGGAGCTAATCTCAAAATATTATGCTCATCACTACTTCTACAACAAATTTGTTCTTTTTAACATGTTGGTATCTATTTCAGAATCATTGGTATCCTTTGTAATTCTGTGTATTTTATATACACAGTTGACCCTTGAACAACATGGGTTTGAACTGCATGGATCCAGTTATATGTGGATTTTTTTCAATAGTAAATGCTGCAGTACTACAAGATCCGTGGTTGGTTGAATGCGAGGATGCCAAACCATAGATACTTAGGAACCTTGGATGCTGAGGGCCAACTATAAAGTTATAAGCTGATTTTCGACTGCTCAGAGGGTCGGCACCCCTAATCCCTGAGTTGTTCAAGGATCAACTGTACATTTAGAAACATTAGTTAGAGGAATCTTATGCTTTTCCTCTTATGTGTTCTCTCTGCCTGTAACATGTTTCTTTTTCTCCTTCTGTAGCATCAGCCACTACGTGATTGTCATGTCCATGACCATCTTTCTGGTGTTTCTCAATGGCCTGGCACAGATGCTCACAACAAAGAAACTCAAACTGTGTGGCAGACCCAAAAGCCACCTCATATGATATTGCCAAAGCCATCATTCAGCATCCAGATCCTGTTTCTCATTCTCCTTGTCAACTAAAACCTTATCAAGGATTCATAAAGGAGATGGATATTAATGTATAACATACTCTGCTCATCTAAAGGAAATTATATGTGGAATTCTGAATTTATGGGTTATCTGGAGTAAAGGAGCTTCCATTTTCTTTAGGTTTTGCATGAAGTCATGGTTACATCTGTGGAAAAGCAGAGTAAAGCATTCTGCATTTTCATTTTTTCCTTTAGTTGGCAACTCTTCTCACCGATGTTTCAGAGCACCTGTAACAGTCTCTGGTCCCCAGCTGTACAGCTTCCTGTATTATATGCAGAGGAGACTGTGCTCCTGAGGGGGCAGTACTGATCATATCCAAAATCAATGCACTGGCTGAACATGAAGTACATCACCAGGTGGCACCATAAATATTTATCAACTCTCAGCACTTGTTTTGCAAATAGTTCTAACTACTAAACAACATTAGAAAGACAATCAGGATGTGTAGAAAAATGTTTGCAGATGTTTTTCATTTTTCTTCTGTATTCAGCAATACTATTTTATGCTTTTTAGTGCTTTTTTAGTTTTCATAGTCAATCAGCTAGATGCAGGTTTTACCTTCACTTTTTTTTTTTTTTCCCCATTTCTGGATTCTCATGGAATTTCTGGAGATAGAAAAGCAGAAAAAGCTTGTTATTTGTGTCTTGTCCATGGGGGAAAAGATTTAAATGATTAGTTTTGGGGGGTTTTTAAAATTTTTATTTTATTTATTTATTTTTGGCTGCATTGGGTCTTCTTTGCTGTGTGCAGGCTTTCTCTTGTTGCAGAGCACGGGCTGTAGAGCGCAGGCTCAGTAGTTGTGGCACACAGGCTCAGTAGTTGTGGCTCACAGGTTCTAGAGTGCAGGCTGAGTAGTTGTGGTGCATGGGCTTAGTTGCTCCGCAGCATGTGGGATCTTCCCAGACCAGGGCTCGAACCCATGTCCTCTGCATTGGCAGGCAGATCCTTAACCACTGCACCACCAGGGAAGCCCCTAAATGATTAGTTTTTTTTTGGTTTTTTTTTTTTAAATTCTAAGTGTGTGCCCCAGACCCCCTCGGACCCCTTCCTTTTTTTTTTTTTTTTTTTTAATAATACACAATGTATTTATTTATTTATTTATGGCTGTGTTGGGTCTTCATTTCTGTGCATGGGCCTTCTCTAGTTGTGGCAAGTGGGGGTCACTCTTCATCGCGGTGCGCAGGCCTCTCACTATCGCGGCCTCTGTTGTTGCGGAGCACAGGCTCCAGACGCGCAGGCTCAGTAATTGTGGCTCACGGGCCCAGTTGCTCCATGGCATGTGGGATCTTCCCAGACCAGGGCTCGAACCTGTGTCGTCTGCATCGGCAGGCAGATTCTCAACCACTGCGCCACCAGGGAAGCCCACGATTAGTTTTTAATTGTAGATTCAATAACTGTTACTTCCAAAGCTTTTATCATGCATTATTCCAACAGAATTCTTTAAATCAATGGTTAAACTTTCTGAAAATATCATGTCAGTGTTAAAATTGCTTTTCTTTCTGGTTGTGAGATTCTAGCTCAAAGGCCCAAAGTCCTCTCGTTAAAGTTTAATTTCTATTCATAAACTAATTTTAATGGACAAAATTTTTTTTTTTTTTTTCTATTTGCGGTACGCGGGCCTCTCACTGCTGTGGCCTCTCCCGTTACGGAGCACAGGCTCCGGACGCGCAGGCCCAGCGGCCATGGCTCACGGGCCCAGCCGCTCCGCGGCATGTGGGATCCTCCCGGACCGGGGCACGAACCCGTGTCCCCTGCATCGGCAGGCGGACTCTCAACCACTGCGCCACCAGGGAAGCCCCAAAATATTTTGAGAGTAATTTTTATTTGGATTCTTCATAAAGTGACCTTTAGATGTCACTGTGGAGTTGGCCTTTTGCCCATGGTGTGCCAGGAGAGTTTGGCTGATGCTAAGCTTTCTTGGTCTGAGCCCCATTTTTAAAAAATAATTGATTTTGAATTAAGTTATAGCATTACTAATTCATTATTAATGATGAGGAAGCCCTCTACAAATTAGCAGATTTTTCAAATTGGCAGGTGAGTGAACAGATACAATTTAGGAGATTCAAAAATCAGTTTGGCAAAATGTACTTTCTTAATTCCTATTTATGATGAAGTATAGTTATAGTTGACTTGTGATAGTACTTCATGGTATGCCAGCGAGAGCATTATAGTACAAAAAACAAGAGACGCACTGATGTCAATGTAAGACCTCATGCAGTCTGTAATATGAAATCTAGGTAGACAGCTAAGAAGCTGCTGAAACGGTATTGGCAGGTGGGGAACCCATGAACTTCCACATTGCCTCAAAGGATTTTTGATTAGTCTTTTCACAAGTCAGAGAAAACTGACTTTATAAACACTTATTATTTTTCCTTTTATATCTAGTTTTGCCTTTCATCTTTTTCCAGATTTTCACACAGAGGAATTAATGAATATTTTATTACAACATGGTAAAAGGTGCTCTGTGCTTTATCTTTATTTTGCTTTTTGAAGCACATCTTTTTAATATTGTTACAAGTCAGTGTGAATTTACAAAACATCGATTGCCCCTACAGCCACAGGCCAGCCTTGCTCTACTGTGACAGGACCCCTCAGACTCACCTGGGAACAGTGCACTGGATGGGCCTTTTCTATTGTGCAGCTTATCAGGATATCTTGAAGTGTTTTGAAATGCATATTTTTATATTGAAAAACAGAGAAAATATAAATAAGATTTAAGTAAAATATATTTCTGTTTAAGGCATTTACTTTTTCATTGTAACTATAAATACCAGGTTTTCAAGTCAAGACTTAAGACATTTGCTGATTAACATTTGTTTAAATTAAGAATTGCTGTAAGAATTAAAGTGGGCATATCAGGTTGAGAAAATATTGAACAACAAAAAAAAACCATGCTATGTCACATGGACCATGAATAAATCTTGGAGGAAACCCTAAGGATTTAGGAAACTATCTGCAGCCTGTCTGTAATTTATGAATGCTTTAATTCTCTCTACTATTTTTTTTTAATGTGCTGTATTTAGAACACAAAATGCGTTTTTATTTTTTCAGGAAATAATGTTATAAGCGGTAGTATATTCTCACAATAATCCCCTCAAACGATTAAACAACGATAGAGCTGAACTACTTACCTAGAAAACTACTTACTCATCACTTATGATACTGTTTCTCATGAAAAACTCATTCCGAATTTTAGTCAACTCAGATATTAGGAGCATATATGTCCCCCACCTCCAGCCCCACCCTTACACATTTGTAGTGGACTGAGGACTCCTTTGGCCTTCACCTTTTGATACGTAACTGTGCCATCAAATATGTAATTTCTGATGGAGCAGGCCCAGAGGGCATGGGGTCGGGGCATTGCATGGGGATTGCTCTAGATTGTCTCTAGATGCCCTCTGGTCGGGGAGCTCCCCCTCAGAGAATGAGCTAAACCAACTCAAATCATTTAGGGAGGATCCCCTTCAAGCAGTTCTGAGGACTACTTTAAGAGATCTGAGATAACTTGGTAATGTCTCACCTTTTCAGAGTTGTTCTTTTTATACTGACATTCTATCTGTAAAATGCTTGAGAGTGGGATTGTTAGGGTATGTGCTTTCAGCACTGTAGTAATATCTTGTAGCATTTTCCCATTTCTGCATCAGTGTGGTTTGTAAAAGAGTTGGGTGGGATTTCTGCTCTTAATACTCATTCTATATAAAGAACATTTTAGGGCTTCCCTGGTGGCACAGTGGTGGGGAGTCCGCCTGCCGATGCAGGGGACACGGGTTTGTGCCCTGGTCCGGGAGGATCCTGCGTGCCGCGGAGCGGCTGGGCCTGTGAGCCGTGGCCGCTGGGCCTGCATGTCCGGAGCCTGTGCTCCGCAGCGGGAGAGGCCACAACAGTGAGAGGCCCGCGTACCGCAAAAAAAAAGAGCATTTTAGAAGTAATGTGTCCCTTATTAATTTCCTTAGAGACACTAACACAGATCACAGTTGTTAACTCACCACCCTGAGTACTGCAGTATTTGCCACATAGCAGCATTTCTCAAAGTATGTCCCTTGGAACATGGGTTTCTTAGGATACAAATAGATGTCATAATAAAAAAGGTTCCCTGATCAAATATATTTGAGAAACACCTAGTCAAAGCTAAATAGGTGTATTTCTTGTAGTACTGGGAATTTAATTTGGCATGTGCATTGTGAAGGGAGAAGATAGCAATATGCCCCAAATTTCCACTTGCTTGACCACAGACCCGACCTTCAAGTCTCCCTTCCGCCTGGCACACATACTTCAGAAGTGTCCCCACATACTTTTGTACTTAAAAACCTCAGCTTATCATGTTTCAAAAAAGGGTGTCGGGGGGAGACCTTCAGGATGACGAAGGACAAAGACATGGAGATCACCTTCCTCCCCACAAATACATCAGAAATACATCTACATGTGGAACAGCTCCTACAGAACACCTACTGAACGCTGACAGAAGACCTCAGACCTCCCAAAAGGCAAGAAACTCCCCACGTACGTGGGTAGGGCAAAAGAAAAAAGAAGAAGCAGAGACAAAAGAATAGGGTCGGGACCTGCACCACTGGGAGGGAGCTGTGAAGGAGGAAAGGTTTCCACACACTAGGAAGCCCCTTCGTGGGTGGAGACGATGGTGGCAGAGGGGGGAAGCTTTGGAGCCACGGAGGAGAGCACAGCAACAGGCGTGCGGAGGGCAAAGCGGAGAGATTCCCACACAGAGGATCCGTGTCGACCAGCACTCACCAGCCCGAGAGGCTTGTCTGCTCACCCGCCGGGACCGGTGAGGCTAGGAGCTGAGGTTCCGGCTTCGGAGGTCGGATCCCAGGGAGAGGACTGGGGTTGGCTACGTGAACACAGCCTGAAGTGGCCTAGTGAGCCACAGCTAGCCAGGAGGGAGTCCGGGAAAAGGTCTGGAGCTGCCAAAGAGGC